GTTCTTTTCGGCTCATTAAAGATTAATCTTGCAGCGGCATTTTGGATTAATTGTAGAGGTTTGATAGAAGTGGCTGGAAGACCTGCCAAGAGAGCATTGCAATAGTCCAGCCTGGATAGAACAAGAGCTTGAACAAGGAGTTGTGTTGCATGTTCTGAAAGAAAGGGCCTGATCTTCCTAATGTTGTATAAAGCAAATCTGCAGGACCGGGCAGTTTTAGCAATGTGGTCTGAGAAACTCAGCTTATCATCAATCACAACTCCAAGGTTTCTAGCTGTTTTTGAAGGAGTTATGGTGGATGAGCCTAACTAGATGGTGAAATTTTGATAAAGTGATGGGTTTGTGAAACCACAAGCAGTTCTGTCTTAGCCAGGTTGAGTTGAAGGTGATGGTCCATCATCCAACAAGAAATGTCTGTTAAACATGCTGAGATGCGAGCAGCTATCGTCGGATCATCAGGATGGAATGAGAGGTTGAGTACCGGTCTGTAGTTCTCTAAAAGAGTTGGGTTAAGAGAGGGTTTCTTAAGTGGGATTATACGAGCCTGATAAAAACACCAGTGTGAAGGGATGTGTTAATGATGTGCGTGAGTGCAGGTACAACTGCAGGAGAAATGGCTTGAAGTAGGCCTGGGCAATAAAACGGTATCGGTATTTTTTGACAGTACACGTTCATCAATAACGATAGAAAAAAATGTTCGATATAGCGCATGATATAGGCGTGTGCTATGAGTGACAAGCAGACAGCACACACAAACACATGCTGAGTGCTGTGCCTGCCTGTGATGAGGAGATTGTGAATAAAAAATGAATATTAGTCGAATTTAAAATAAATATTTGCATTTGAATGCAAAAACGGTGCAATTGAATGTTAGGTGTGCGTCGGTGAGGGAGCCTCATCAGTGGCGCACGAGATGCGGTGATGATGATGTAAGTGTCTTTGTCGTACTTTATTGTTTTTGTTAGTTTATCCAGTTGAACTCACAAGATGCGCCGCTGCTGCGTTATTCATTCAAAATATTAGAGAAATTTAGAAGCTCAATGCAGAGAAGTTATTGGTTAGGTTAAAACCGAAACCAAGCAATTCACAAAGAACGCATATTAGCCACAACTTTGGGACAGACAACTATGACTGTTGCACTCGTGTCTCACGCAAGAGATGTATAGAAAGCCATGCAAAGTTAAAAGAGTTTAAACTTTTAGAAAACACGTTGCGAATTTGTGGAGGTTTATTCCTTTCACTGCGTCTCATGTTTTTAAATGCAATCTGTGTGATTGGCACTTCGGCTATTTGAATTAAGCTATGTATAAATACATGATGCTATTTTGTTCATAATTGTTTATGCAATTTACGAAATTATATTTGATTTATATATGTTAATTTAGACGTTGTGCGCATTTTTTATAGACTTTTATTTTAATTGCATTATATAAACAGTTTAATGTGCTGCATTATTTTGCTCATTGCACCCTCCTGTGGATATTTAATCTGCATATAAAGCAAAAGAAATTAGATATTTGTTTAAATTTTATTTTGTGTTTGACTGTTAAAACAAAAATATTTGTAGTTTGTCTTAAATTGGGTAATTAAAAATACAGTGGTTGAATTTAAAAAAAAATTATATTGCTCTGTTTTAAAAAAAGGTTATAATAAATGTCAATAATTATTGATACCAAACGATATGAGACATCATCATTTATCATCATTGATACATTTTTTTAGCTATATCGCCCAGCCCTAGCTTGAAGGAGATGAGATGGAATAGGATCAAGCAGACAAGTAGTAGGATGATTAGAAAGGATGAGTTTGGAGACTTCTGCCTCAGAGAATGAAGAGAAGGATGTGAACGAGTGTATGTTTTATATATATATATATATATATATATATATTCAGTATTTGGTGTGAGTTAGCGTTAGTCTATAGTATTTATAATTTGTTGAATATAAAAACAGAAGCTTGTGGAATTTCCCCATTTAGCTGAGTGAACGTTTGTGTGTGTCTGCATGCATTTTATTCTCGTAAAATGAATCTGATGTCAAGCTGGATTCTAGATTCTTGTCTCTAGTTTCTATGGCAACAGGATGAAGGTGTTTTCTGAGACGGTGGCAGACCGCTGTGTGTGTGTGTGTGTTTCATAAACTCAGGCCTTCACACACAGTAAATGGAAATGTGTGTGTGTGTGTGTGTGTGTGTGTGTGTGTGTGTGTGTTTGTGTGCTGGCGATTCTCCTCCTCCCCCTCCGCCCCCCCCTCCTGAGCCTGTGGCCCCGCCGGAGCCAGAGGAGGAGATTCTGGGCTCTGATGATGAAGAGCAGGAGGATCCAGCCGACTACTGCAAAGGTACCGCACCTGTCTGTCTGTCTGTCTGTCAGGAGAGCTTCCAGGTTTCTGTCCATGTTGAGTAAAAGCTGGACTGACACTGACCTGATTTATGCCTTGTTCTTCACAGGTGCATGAGTTTCCAGCCTCAAGTCATTTTTCTGTCATCGCTGAAAGTGAAATGTTAATTCTTGTAGTTTTAATAGCAGAAACAGTTCTCAGTAGTAGTTTGGTCTTCTCCTCTTGAGTGGAAATCTAGTTATGCCAGTGGCTATATTCACATCAATGACACAAACATACCACAGTAAAATATACAAGAAAAAAAAAAACAACGTGAAAGAAACTGGAATCAAACTCAATGGAATCAAGTGTTAAAACAGACTTTAATAAACGTGAGTGCTGGTCTGAGGACACCAGCCGTACAGTTGAGCTGAAGGAAACATTAGCCGGATTCTCCTGTTTCTACAAGTACCATCAGTCGACTGTATCGTGTTTCTCTCGTGCTGCAGGAGGTTACCATCCCGTGAAGATCGGCAACCTGTTTAACGGCAGATACCATGTCATCCGCAAGCTGGGCTGGGGTCACTTCTCCACCGTCTGGCTGTGCTGGGATATTCAGTGAGTGACCGCGTCACCAGTGCAGGCAGTGTGTGTGTGTGTGTGTGTGTTACTCGGTGTGAGTATAACCTGTGTGTCTGTGTGTGTTAACAGAGCGAAGCGTTTTGTTGCGATGAAGGTCGTAAAGAGTGCACAGCACTACACAGAGACGGCACTGGATGAAATTAAATTACTCAGATGTGTGAGTATCTCCCACACACATTGTTCATCAGGGGTTCTTGTTAAAAATATTTGTGATTTCACTTAATTGTACACCATGTCTCTGACACATAGAATTACAGACTATTTCCGCTCTTGTGCCTTTAATGCCGGCTCACAGTCACTGGCACACAAACACAGCTGATGCCTTTATACAGGCAGCATCTGAAAGCTCACTGTTTCTTCGCTGCGCTATCAGCCAGCGACTTTGCAAGCAGCATGAAAGTGCCTCACGAAACTGATTTCACAACCGTCTAATGGTCTTTAACAAAACAGAGAGCTTCGGTGATAACTGAGCCAATATTTAATGACTACAATACTAATTTCTCGCTAGAAATAAAATTAAAAGTGGAAACATTTGGTCAAAATCATACATTTACATACAAAGTGACCTCCAAGTCAAACTTTCAGATGGCATTTTTTAGCTCAGCTGTCATGAAATCGAATGAACAGGATTGTGGGAAATCACAGGCAGTGAAGGACACATCAGTGCTGCCTTCAAAACAATGAAGGAATCTCAGTAGACTGGATGTGATGCAATCACTGGATTTAGACAGGTCTTGTTGCCTTCCCACCTCCATATGCTGCCTGCAAATCACATTTTAATCATGATCCTGATTATTGATTCTGTTGATTAATTAAACTTTTCCATCTACAATATTTGCCCACTGGTTATTTATTCTGATTTTTTTTCCCATTTGACATTTGCATTGGTAAAAAGCCTCCATGAGTGTTGATGCTTGCAGTTCTGTGTGTGTGTGTGTGTGTGTGTGTGTGTGTGTGTGTGTGTGTGTGTGTGTGCGAGAGGTGCGAGAG